AACAGCAGGAATGATTCCTGTGCTGTAGTTTAACACTTGCATCCATACTGGCTGTTTTGGCCTTCTTCTGCCTGCAGTGGGAAGGGGCGTCGGCTGGGATGAAAATGTTGTATTATGGGGTAGCATGGATCTTCAGTCTGCATGACTGCCAGTTTTTTGAATGAAGCCTGTTCGTTTTTCCTGTGAATGCTTGTTCATTTAAAAAATGCGTATTTAAAGAAGGTCGGAAGAGGACTACGAAATCTCTAAATTGCACTCAGTTTTGAATTTGCTATAAAAAAGAGTATCTGTCATAACTGTGTGAAGGGAATTTCACCTTCAAGCTGAATTAAGACCAAACGTGAATAAAAAAACCAGCCTTACAAAGTTTCAACTTCGCAGCTTGCCTTGTGAACGAATAGCCGCTTCGTTACAAATATCTTTGAAGTGCCGTAAGTCGTGGTGCAAGTGGAAATCGAAACTCAATTTAGGTGTACGATTTTCCATTTAAACAACAAATATTTTGACAAGATTTTAGCTGCTATTTTCCAGCTACTTTTCAAGTTGAAACATTGCCAACTATGAACTTTGACGTAGCTGTAAGTATGACATAAGAGTGCGCGATATCTTAGTTTGGAATCTTTAGCTCATACACGTACAAAGAATATTCTTGCAATGTTTCAATTTCCCATCTTGTCTGGTCCACGAAATCGTTTTCCGTCGAGAAATTTGCTTATTTTTTTGGGAGTTCATGCGCGAGTTCTAGGAGCGTATGAGCGAAAATTTTAAAACGGGAAGGTAACATATAGGGTAAGAATATGGCAAAAACGCATAAAATCTATTAGCCATCATCAAAAACTATTTGTCATCATGTTTCATGGAGAGAAATAGCTTCTTAATGAGCATCATCAGTGCATAGTATTTACCGGAGAACAAAGGATACCAATGAGATTTTTCTCGCACTCACTGTCGCAAGTGGTATTGCTGCACTCGCCGCGCTGAGTTATATTTACGTAATGTTTTAACTGATCCGCATAAAGTTCACGTTTTGAAGGTGTTAAGCAATTGGAGACCAGCTGCAATACCATCATTTTCTTGTTACTCGCAATGTTTACAACCTGCAAGGATCTACAGTAATGCAGGTCTGGCATCTTACATTTACAGCCTACTATGAAAATAAAAGGCAGCCGAGCTTACGAGATCTCAGCAACTGTATAAATTTTTTAACCCGGGCTGGAACGCACCAGGCGAGCCGGTGCGATCATGCGTTTTTGCATCAAATTTTGAGGTACTCCACCAAATTTCCCTGCCTTTTTGAAATACAAATTTCCAGTTCACTAAAAAGTAAAAGTATTACCCGAGCGGTCGTTTCCAAAAAAACCGCGTTC